GTAAGCAGCTGCATTTCCTCTCCATTTTGAAATGGAAACTGCAGCATATTTGTGCATTTCACCATGCCTAAGACATGGTGTGATGTTGGCTGTGTAATATGCAAAAGAAAAACCCAATTATAGTAAATAATATTTTGTACAAAGCCACCTGAGTAAGGATCTTTCTACAATAGTTGATTCAAGGTATGGTTGCAGTGTAATGAAAATCAGCAAAAATTGAATGAAAATAGAAAGAAGCCATATTGTAAAATGTGAGAAAGTGATGGAGGTTTCTCCGGATTTTTCCTTTGAAAGGTACAGACAGGATTTGGACGAACAGGCAGCCATTTCTGGGGATTTCAAACGCATGGTGTAGTCCCTGACATTGTTACTTTGGCAAAAGGAATTGGTAATGGCTTTCCCATGGCAGCTGTTGTTACCACAAAAGGTATAAGTGTTCTGTCCTGATAAGAATTAAAGTAGAGCAAATACAAAATGTACTATACCATAGTTACTTACTGGAGAGATGTGTATTCAAACAGCTGAGCTTTATTAATGGTCTTGGTTTCAAGCTGTCTTTTGAGGTAAATGAATTGGTTTCTCATTACTGACTGGTTTTACCTAGAGCTCTGCTTTTACCAGTGAAAAGCTTTATTTAGATGGGGTTAATTGCATAACTGAAGCAGAGATGACCTTGTCATAGAAATCGTGAAAAGAAATACCTTGTAAGAAATCCTGAAAATCTTTGAATTTTCCATTTTAATAATCAGTGCACTAAGAGAAGACAATATGTTAGCCAGATACTTGATTCATATGAATGACTCACTGAGTCTGGTTAAGAAAATTGTAGATGTTGGCCCAAGGAGACAACTGACTAGATTATTTTAAAGTGTGACCATTTTAAAGTCTGTCTTTAGCATCTGTTAAACTGTAGTTTTGGCAGTATTATGGTCTGTCACTTTGGAGAATCAGGGTAGAAGCACAGCAATATTTTAAGTTAACGCAGGTAAGTACTGTTACCAAATGTAAAACAACTGTAAGACTAATTAGTGTTTTTTGGTTTTGTTTTTCTCTTCTAGAGATTGCAAATTCTTTGGCTCAAAACCTTCATTTCAATACATTTGGAGGAAACCCTTTAGCCTGCGTAGTTGGAGCTGCAGTTCTTGATGTAGGGAGAACATTATGAGTTGATTTATTCCAAGCTTTTTCTGGATAAAAACTGCTTGCATTTGTTCTTATTATAAAGTTATGTGTGGACAATTTTGTAACTGTATAAACACATAAAGTATTATTTATATATAGGCAGGGCGCTTTATGTGTAGGAAAAATACAAGTTCCTGATTAGTTCTACTGCAAAATTTTCATCCCTTTAGGCAGGAGTAGGAGTCATTTGTAGTCTTCATCTTGGACATTACTTTGAACCTGTCTGAAGCAAGTCTGAAGGGGTTGTCAGCTAGGAAAAAAATAAAATGGAGTTGAAAGACAATGAGTTAAGGAAAAAAAAAAAAAGGAAAAGTATCACTTTAATTTTTGTAATTCTTTTTCTTATGTGAATTTTATTAAAGTACACTTTAAGTTTGTAAATTAAGTTGTGCACATCAGTGCTGATAGCTGGTTGCATGTCAGAACTTTGATGAATAGAGCAGAGTATGAAAAATTGCATTTAAAAAGCATTGATGAGTGTTGATGAATCTAATTAAAGCACTCAAGCTGTTTCCTAAAAGGCTACCTAGTACCAATAGGTATGCCTTGTCAAGTTATATACGTACGGTGCTGGAGCAAGTTTTAAAATATTTTGGGTAAGATTTTGAAAATAATCCTGATGTTCAGGTATTTTTCATCTATGACTGTGTGTGAGCATGAATTACCGCAATATGATTATGGAATAACAATAACAAGTAAAATGTGCAAAAGGATGGAGCAACATCAAAATATTTTGTTCAGTTTTAATCTGATGCTATTAGTAGATTGGAAAAAATGAAATACCATAGTAGTGAAGGATTTTAAATACCACAGTAGTGAAGGAACATAGTATGCAAATCTGTGAGCGTGAGAGGATGATGTGTCATTGATCTTACAGGGTATTAAACAAACAGATGTGTTAGAAGCTTGTCCTGCAACATTGTCATTGTGCATCATTCTACCTAGGCTATTGAAGAAGATCATCTACAAAAAAACAGCGAGGATGTGGGAACGTATATGCTACTGGAGCTTGCTAAACTACGGGATAAATTTGAGATTGTTGGAGATGTCCGTGGCAAGGGACTTATGATTGGGATAGAGATGGTGACAGATAAGGTTGATTATTTACTTTATTCCTTAATTCCTTTCAATGCCACTGAATGTTTTACTTAAAAAAGTGGAGTGAGAAAGCATTGCTCTGGCTAAAAATGAGCCAGAAGATGCCAGCATTTCAAATATCTCACAAGCTTTGTGTAAACAGTGACTTGTGCACTTTAATTGCATAAAGCCATCTTAGAAAGCAGATTAAATTATGCAACTGAAGTTTTCAGACAGAGATGGGAGTAGGATATATGGGAATAACTGGAATATACATCTTTTTCTTAGAATTAATTTATAAATCTAGAATTTTATAAATTTATCTTAGTTTAATGTTCACTTCCCATAGGACAGTCGCCACCCTCTTCCAACTGAAGAAATCAGTGAGATCTGGGAAGATTGTAAAGATATGGGTGTTCTGATTGGAAGAGGAGGACTCTACAATCAGGTATAGAACTTCTGGTTAAATTAACTATACTGATTTTGCCTGGTTTACAAACCAAGCAGGAGCTATTTGTTTCTTTTCTGAAACTAGTGCTAGAACTAGTTAGAAACTAGTGCTCAACTAGTTCGGGGCACACTTATCAAAGAGGCCTTGGTCCCAGCTCTACAGTTCTATTATTTTTCCATACCTATGGTTAGATTGTGTGGCAAAGTGTGAGCACTGACCTAGAAGGGCTGCTATAACCTATGTTCTTCCCCTACAAGTATAAGGATGTCTTTTTTTTTTCTTTTTCCTTCTCAGACATTTAGAATTAAACCTCCTATGTGCATCACTAAAAAGGATGCTGACTTCGCTGTTGAAGTAATTCATACTGCATTAGAGAGACACATGAGAAGAGTAGCTGCAAAGTAGACTCGACTTATTTCTGTACACGAGATGCAATTGAATGAATCCATACTTGCCATCCAGACTCAGCACTAATCTACACAGGACAAGAAGTATCATAGTTTGAAGATAAAATGTGTAGGAGTAGTCTTAATGATGCTGACAGAGCCAGACTTCAAATAATGCCTCTAATCTGTTTTGTAAAAATACTCTTCAGTACTACAGTTGTCTTTAACAATGCGACATGTGACACTAGGACAGAATGGTTTCATTCTGATGCTCTTTGTTCCTTACTCTTTTCTTCTGCTGCTCTCTCTGTCTCACTTGTTTCCTATGCACCAGCACAGGTCCTCCACCAGGCTACCGTCACTCTGGAGGTGTTACAGGTACCACCATGGAGTGCCTCTTGCTGCTATGGCCTTGTTCCTGTGTCTCACAGCATTTGCTGTTTTCACAGAGGCAACACAAACTCCCGCTTAACTGAGCATGTGGTGGGACTGTTGCAGAGCCAGCTGTGACCAGTGCAGAGTAGTCCCTGACCATCTTCCACTGTGGTCACCCCCACAGCCACCACAACCTTCCCTCTTACACTCAATGCTCAGGAACATTTGTAAAGACAGACAGTGATGAAGTATTCGACTTTATTTAAATAAGAAAAATAATTAACTCAAAGGTAACAGTGCAGGGTTTAAGTCTCACCCTCAGTCCCACAATGAGAGATTTCACACAGTTATTTGGGCTAGGAACCACTCTGAGGAGAACATAAGTGCAGCTTTCAAACAGTGCTAAAAGTGTTTACCCTTACTACAAGGAAGCACTGTAATTTGTGCACACTGAAAGCACAAAAAAAAATATCTGTGCACACTAATTGTAAAGGTTCTAATTACACTAATTCTTTTTTATATGGGGCTCTAATCCAGTCATCATCCTCTCCAAAAATGCTTTTATTTTCCTCCTGCTGCTTTTAGGATTGCACAGCACACCAATTAGTCATTTAGCAAGATGCAAAATCTGGCTGGGGAAATAAGGTGCAGCATGTCTTACATAACCACTTTTTGGGAAAAAAAAGAAGTTCATTACCTCTCTCACTCTCAAGAAAAAAAAAGTATAATTGCTGGCTGTTAGCAAGAACTGTACATTAGTCATTTTACTTTGGTTCAAATTGTAACATTTGAATAATTTCTTACCCCAACAATGGTACTGTGTTCTGCAATTTTGTCTGATGAGCTGAAATGTTAGAGCAACTTGGATAAGGCAAGATCATTGCTTTTATCAACTCTCAGGGTTTACTATCAGACTAGAGCCCCAGCCCTCCCTGAGCATTGCATTCTCTAACTGCATTCACAATTTGATTTGTAAAGTTCTTTCCTACACTTACACTCCAAAATCAGGTGTTTGTCTCACTTTTTTTTTTTTTAAGTGCTATTCAAGTTGAAGCAGATTATGCATTTAAACAGAGGCATACCAGCTCACATTTTGTTTTTCATTAGAAATCAAAAGAAAAAATGTAGACAGGTGTCTCTAATTCACACCATTCCCCAGTCAAATAGGAATACGTAAGTTAAACGTGCTGAGGGACAGACTTCCCACATGCAGCTCACCTCACATACATTAACACCAACTTCTCAGTTTTCATCCCCCTCCTCCCCACTTACTCCAGCAAGGTTTTTTGTCCCTCTCACACACACCTGGCATGCAGGCACACATACAGAACTAATAGGGACTGCCAAAGCCGCGATTAACCAGCTTTGTCATCTTACTCTTTTCTCTTTTGTCTGCTAATTAGTTTGAAAAGGCCATTGAGGATGGCAGAAAAGCCTGTTTTTTCCCCTTGCCCTGGTTCATATTTCATCTTTAACAGATGATCAAAGCAGCAGAGTCCATTCTTAAATCAGTTTTCTCTCAAAAAAAATAGCAACATGTTAAAATAATTTATTCCTTCTGCATAGGTTGCATCCATGCAAGTTTCAACAAGAATGCAAGGCAACTAGCTTTAAAACACTATTTTTTCCCCTTCAGCATGAAATCTGCTGGAAGGGTAAGCCAAATTCAGTCAGTAAAGAACGGCTGGTAAAAACAAACGAAAGCACAGGTTGCTTCACAAGATAACGTTCCTTTTGTTACATTTTTTTCCTTCCTTCTTCCAAAGTTGGAGTTGCCTGCTCTGTTTACCTCAAAATACAGGCAATGCACACTTCTCCATTTTGGGAGATTTTTTATGTATGATTCCAGAGACTGTCACTGTATCTAAGTTCTATCTGTTTTTACGTTTCTCTTTTTTGCTTCTGGTGTGTACAGCTCCATTTACAGTTGGTGCTTGTGTTGCTTTTGCATGTCCTGTCAATTTTAGATGTTCAAACAGTTTATTTCGGGATGGAAATGCACAGTTGCAGGTTACACAGTGAATGGGAACTTCATTCTACAAGGGAAAAAAGAAAGATTAACTTTTTTACAGAATGCATAATAAATAGAATGCACCAACTGGTTACACGTAGCTTTTCTTAAACAATGAAATGTGATTAAGTTGTTTGTTTCTATAATTAAAATCCCATTACTGATTAACAATAAAAAACAAACATTACAAATATGGCCTCTTAGAATTTTAAGGAGTGCTAATTAAAGCCTAGAACAAAACAGAAGCTTTGCAAATCCCATTTATGATACATTAGATTACATTTGATCTCATCTGACTAAAGAAGACTATACACATACCACTTTCATTTCTGAAATTTACTGAATTCAGTATGTCTTAGCTCTAGTTAATATAAGAGTTCACTCTTACTGGGAATCATCAATATTGGGAAAGATGCAAACGGTACTGACTAATGACAACAGCTGTCTTGTCTACTTTTTGTTTGTTTAAACTGCTTTGAATACTGAGATCTTGCCACTCTCTTAGAAGTGAAATTTAGTCCTACTTTTCTCTGCAAAGACAAGATCCGATGTTCCAATATCGCAGATTCTAATAAAAATCACAGGAAGAGAAGTCACCTATTTAAATTACTAAAAAAACAAGCAGTAAATTGGAATAGAATATTTGTCTAGAATTCAAACCAACAATCCTGTTTGTAATTACATGTTTGTAATTAAATGACATGATTAGTAGCATTACTAATTTGACATACCGTTGTTGGATGTTCTGAAGATGCCTTGGCAGACTTTTTTGCATCCTTGGCTTTTTTACCTTTAGGCTTAGCACTGCTGATAGACAAAGAGAAAGCAAGATCAGTGCACAAGATATACAAATTAACACTAAAGAGTAGTCTTTCAGAGCAAAGTTTCTCCTAATTTCCCCAGTTCTTCCTTCGCACAACACAAGTGTGTTCAGAAAAAAGAACTGTCATTTATATGATAAACTGTCAGTCTCAAGATTCAGCTAGATGATGGATCAGATGCTGGTAAATGTGTGGCACTGATTTGCAGTCTAATACCTTTTCCAGAGTAAATCCTAACACTCCTTGGTTTGTACCATTTTTATTCAATTCTGATTTAGTGGAGTAGACCTCCCAGTTTACTTGGTGTGAAAAATCCAGACTTAAATCTAGACTTGTTTAACAGTATCAGACATGACATAGAATGTCAATCACTGCTATATAGCAAGTCAGCGCACCTTTTCACTTCACTTTGTGCTTCATTTACTTGGCTGCTATCTTCTGAAGCACTTCTTTCCTCTGACACAGCACATCTTTGGCCATCATTTACCAATTCCTCTGCTGTGTCCTTGTCCACACATGGCACCTCCTTTTGCTCAGCTGTTTCCTCATCAGCACTTTTATCAAAAGAGTCCTCATAAATCTGTCCAAAGACAATAAATGCAAGTAAGCATCTTTAAGTTCATTAGTGATTATGTTTATACTGTTATACTCATTTACCTCAAAACATGGGTGTAACACACAAAGCCATCAACCCTCTGAATTTTACACTGTGTTTTCAGTGAGACTGTAACAGATAAAATCTTAGTTCCCTTTTCGAAAGATGAGACCACCTGTGACGAAGGGACGAAACACCAATAAAACAGCCTCAAAAGCTACAGAACATAAGAACAAAGGTAGCTTTTAATTACTTACAGAGTTAATCACAGGGCTCCCATTTCACATTATAAGATAGTGGTTTTGTTTACAACTTTGCCAAATGGTAATTGTTTAGGCTAAAGTTTTTTGTGCCAGATGTGCGCATTAGGACACAATTATTCTACTGACGGAAGCTAAACACGCTATTTTCCCCCCTTAACTTTTGAAAACACTGCTAAACTTCTCCAAAATTTGAGTCAAGACTAAGTTTGGCAAAGGTCTATCTATGTCTGAGCATGTCTGAAAAAATTGCTAAAGTCACAAAAGCAAAATAATTAGGTTTGACCTAACACTATGTTATTGAATATACCACCTCTAGTATGCAATATAAAACTTAACTTGTGGACTTAAAACTACCTGAAAAAGACTTAGCTAAGCTATTTACCTCCAGGAAAACAAAACAAAAACTGTAGTGATTCCTGCACTCAGTAAAACTTCGCAGAGGATCGAAGTTACATTTCCAGAAGAATCTCTCTGCACAAGAAGGTTCCAGCTCAGCTATGCAAGAGTGCCACCCATGTTCTGGTGGGTGGCATTACTGGTGTTTGCAATGCAAGTAAAAGGTGGAATGGATGCGTTCACTCCAACAGCCACACAGGGTCAGTAAGATGCCAAAAAAAATAATTTACGAACAGTACATTTTACCAGGTCTAGCAGCCAAAGCAGAAAACTATTACCAAACAATTAAGTTGCTACTGCACTAGGGCCACTGCTGGTCTTTCTTATCAATTCCTTGTGTTCACTCTTTATCTGCATGTTTCCCTGTATTTCCTGTATCTTTTTTCTTGAAACTTTTTCTCTCTCTTTTCCTTACACTTCAGCCCACAAGCTTTTTGGAACCAGCACTACATTTAGTAGGACCTGTACTAACAGAATAAAGTTATGTTTATGAGATATATTATCATATTATGTGTTAAAAAGGATTGTAAAGTTCCCTGAATTTCATTACGTCTGACTCCCTACCGTCATTGTTTTCTGTTTCTTCTTCTGCTTCTTGGAGAGCCTGTAAAGATAAGAATGCAAAATGAACTCTTTGAAAAAAAGTGAAAATGAATACAATTTCTAGAAAGTTATGAAGTTATATTTTTGTTTAACATCATAACATGGTATTAGAATAGTGGCCACAACTAGGAAACGATTCATATCTGAAGTGAAAATAACAGTTCTCCTAACTATTCATTGCATTTAGAAAAACACTTATTCTGTTCAGACTGAACAGAAAGGTAGTAATGAGCTAGTTGGTTTTATGTTTTTCCAGTCAAGAAATGAAGTTGTACAACTTATTAAATAAATTCAATTTAATTTCAAGTACACTCATTTTCTGCGTGTGCCAGCACCCAACTGACAAAGAGTCCCATAACTAAATCAAAAAACACTGGGCCTGTAGGATGTTCCCATCTGAAAAATCTGACAGCTGAACTCAGCCATACTAATGCATGCATTCTATTGATACTCTTACACAAAGAAATATTTTGAATTACATGATACTATGAGTTCCAACATGATAATAAATTCAGTCAGAAGCTCTCTGTAGCCCTTCAAGTTTTAATTAAATCATTAATCATAACATAACTAAAAATAATTTTAAGTACTTTTGTTTGGGCATCTCTTCTGTTTCTTCATCCTCTTTAGTATCTATTCCATTTGCATCATCCAAAGATGCAGGAAATTTCCCTTCTTCTTCTTCCAGTTGCTGTCGTAACAGTGCTACCATCTCTCGATGTTTCTTTGATTTTTCATGGTTCTTCATGCTGTGAAGACCAGCAAATAGTTACTACAGGTAGCTGAGCAGATATTGTTGCATTTGCAAATAAATTAATAACTGGCCCATTATCCATCACTGCTAAGAATGGAAAATTACACCCTGACAATGTCTCTACTGGAAAGAAGACAACGACCATGATGTGAAGTTCGAGTCCTTAAAAGGCTTTTTTAAAAGTTAAAAAGCAACAATCCCCACCCTCAGCATGAAGAAATTCCCAACCATACACACACACTTACGCTTTCTCAGTTTTGAATGATTTGTCACAAGCAGGGCAGTAGAGATCATCAGCAAATTCACTTTCTTCGGCCTCGTCACTCAGTTTGTCTGAAGAAACAAACGGGGATTGGAGAGACAAAGTCAGAGGACCAATTTTTGAGTAAGTTACTCTTAAAACCCCAAGAAAGTCACAATACTGACATTCAGCTTCTTTAGTATTGCTGATGTGCAGAGAAATCAAGACCATGTCAGCAAATCATACATTAGCATAAATTAACAGCTGTAGTTTGATGTCTTCTCATGTTCCATGGAAAACATCTGAAAGCCAGCCTCTAACCTGGCACACCTCAGTTGGAGGCACAGCACAGGACTTGCACCAGAGCTGTGAAGCTGTGGCTTGAGGTGCAGTGAGCCAATATTGACACAGCAACAACCCGCCACATCTCATACCACCACACCCCATACCTTCGATGCCTTCTTTTGTCTCCTGTTCTTCTAGTTCGTCATCATCTGATCCATCTCCAAATTCCTTTTCATATTGTGCCTCCATCTCTTGCAGTTCCCTCTCCAGATCTGACATAGTTATCCAGCTCTGCTCTTTATACTGCTCAGCAAGCCTGTAAGTAGAATAATACAGTAACTTCTACTTCACATTTATGAGCTGGGAAATACAGAAACTATATTATTTAAAAGATAAGTTGCTCTTCTCCAGTATTTCAGGAGGGCCTGGAAATCTAAGCAAGTACTTGGTTATGTCAGTGGGCATACTGACACTGCAAGTAAGGAGGTATAAGCATAAGCAGATCCTGCTCGAATGTCAGGCAGGAAAAGTACTGCAGCATGGTAAATATCAAGCTCACAGCGGGAAAAGTCTTCTCGATCCTAAAAGAAGTACAGCTGCTTTTACCTGCTACACAATCCCATGTACATTACAGCAATGCAAAGCCCACTAGCACATTGCTACTTGACTCTGTGCTACAAAAGCGTGCTTGGTATACTACAATACAATTTTTAAAAGGTTACACTTGAGACCAAGTCTCAAAAGAATTTTCAAGAATTTTTGAAAGAGCAACTGCAGCTATCATTAGAATCTAACTCTACATGGCACCCACATGGATAGTTGTCCAGGTTTAAAATAAATAATTTGTTCCACATTTACATACTTGGCTTGTTTGAGTTTCTGCTGCCTCCGCAATTCCTCTGCTTTCCTAAGTTTTTCTGCATTCTGCTCTTCTACAAGTTTTCTATGAGCCTGTACTCTTTTATCCCTTTTACGAATAAAGGCTACCAGCTGACGGACCAGTTCATTCCTCTCTTTCCTTGCTTTATCTCTAGTTTTCTTGTTCTCTTTTTCCATAGCTCGTTTCTCCCAGCGGTTTGATGCTTGTCGTGTGTCATATTCTTCTTTCCATGCAAAGGTTTTCTGAGTACAGAAGCTCTGCCAGTATGCATAGAAAGGGTGGACTACCTGTTAAAATTAAAAAAGAACAAAGCACTTTATTAGGGAGGGGGCTAAGAACTCACCAAATAAATTAGGTCTTTTGTAGCAGTTTTGCATAGAGATTTCTATACAGGCCACTGTTTCTTCCCCAGAGTATAATATAAATAGATCACAGGAAGGTTTAGAGAAACCTGTAGTATCATCTTTAAAATTTCACAACACAGCAAGCTAACAACCTATCTATTAAACTATTCTAAACTCCAGTTTCTAGAATTATCCCCTTTTAGGAATGGACCATGCTAACGCTAGTGCCCAGTCACTTATCTTTGCTGTATTTTTCCTTTCAAATGGGAAAGCAAAACCAGAATCAGACATTCTGTACATAAGCAGACACGTGTATTGTGTAACAGCCACTGTATCACATTACACCAAAGGTCATCCGTACATTTCTATCAGTGGCCAACAACCAGCACAAAAAGACCGACAAAACATATGGCAAATACAAAATATTGTTTCTCCCCACTATATTCTCTCTGCTTCCAGAACAAGAGAGAAGCTGTTTAAAAGCCCTCAATCCATTTTTCTTTTGTGAATGTTTAATATTTATTTTCCTAATTTATGTAAATTTTTGGCAATATAGAGTAACACGGAGCTGTGACTTATGCAGTTCAACGAGGATTTATGTGAAGACGCACTTACTCCTATTTTGTTGTGTTATATAACTGCTTGTTAAAATGATGCCCTCCAGCTCTCACATTAGAAGAAACAGCAAATCATCTTTACTTATTCTCCTTTCTTCTACTACTCATGAGCAAAGACTGAATTAGTAAGGTTGCATAACAATTTTTTGTTTTATTCTCTATATTCCTCTCCAAATAATTACTAACCTTCTGCATTTTGTACATTTGGGAAACAAAATATGTCTGATTTTTTAAAAAAATTACTTGTCCATTAAACTGACTTTTTACTACTTATCCCTGCTCACTACTGTTCTGTATTTTGGAGCACTTCACAGCATTAAGTCCTGTTCTTCAATTTAACAGTTTCACATCTCTTCTGCCAGTATTTCTTCTTCTCTTTATGTCACTGGTATTCATTGGGCTACAGCTATTATCTCCTCAACACTAATTTCTAACAGCTTATCTACATGTGAAAGTTCATGGCTGTGGCCTCTGGCAGATAAGTAGCTATGAAGTTTTTCTCTGCTGCCACTAAAATCCAGGTATATATATATCTATAACGTATATACATATTGGACATTTTGTCCAATAATCTAAGTGATGATAGACTATTAGCTCAAATTTGTGCTCTAGAAGGAGGAATCTTCTGTGTAGAAAGATGCAAGGCCATCAGCTGATGACAGGAACCACCTGTCCCTTCACCAGCTGTATGAGCTGTGAGATTTTCCTCCTCTGCGGCTACCTGAAATACAAGTTGTAGTGGGTTTACGTGGCAAGGTTTTGGTAGCAGGGAGCCATAGAGGTGGTTTCTGTGAGAAGGATCTAGAAGCCGCCCCATGTTTGGGAAGGGCCCCATTGTTTTCCAGATCTGAGCCAACAAGCGATGTTGTTTTGCGCCTCTGTGAGAGCATATTTAAGACAGGGAAAAAAACGTTGTGCCACACAGCAGCCGGGAGAGTCAAGGGAGTGAGAAACAGCTTTGCAGGTGCCAAGGTCAGTGTAGAAGGAGGGGGAGAGGTGCTCCAGGCGCCGAAGCAGAAGTCCCCTGCAGCCTGTGGTGAGGACCATGGTGAAGCAGGATGTCCCCCTGCAGCCCATGGAGTACCACAGTGGAGCAGGGTTCCATGCTGCAGCCCGTGGAGGAGACCACGGTGGAGCAGGTGGCCCTGCACCGATGGAGGCTGCCGCCTGTGGAAGACCCCTGCCGGAGCAGATTCCGGGCCGGACCTGTAGCCCGTAGAGAGGAGACCACGCAGGAGCAGGTGATCTGGCAGGAGCTGCTGTCCGTGGGGGAGCCAGGTTGGAGCAGTTTTCTCCTGAGGGATGGAGCCCGTGGAACAGACCCATATCTGGAGCAGTTCTGGAAGAGCTGCTGCCTGTGGGAAGCCCACGCCGGATCAGATCATCAAGGACTGCATCCCGTGGGAGGGACCCCACAGCACAGGGGACGAGAGTGACTGAGAAGGAGCGGTGGAGAAGAAGTGCTGTAGACTGACCATAACCCCCATTCCCCCGTTCCCCTGCGCCGCTCGGGGGGAGGAGGTGGAAGAGGGTGGATGGAGGGGGAAGGTGCTTTTGGTTTCTTTCCTTTGTTTCTCACTTCTCTAGCTTGTTAGTAACGAGCAATAAATCTTACTATCTATCTTCTTATGCTGAGTCTGTTTTGCCCGTTACAATAATTATTGCGTGATTTTCTCATCCTTATCTCAATCCTTGAGTCCTTTTCACATATTTTCTCCCCCTTCCTTTTGAGAAGGGGGAGTGAGAGAGCAGCTGTGGTGGAGCTCGGCTGCCCACTCGAGCGGAACCACGACACAAGTCCAACCTAAGTCCTCACTCCAGAAGACTACAAACCAGCTCTTGCTGAACTCTCAGGTGGATTTTGCTTTGCTTACTACATATAATTGGAGCTGATTACTTCTGTCTCTGCATCTAACTGACCTAAAATTATTCTCTTCTCATGAAGTCTTGTTAAGTCACAGACATAAGAATATCTTCCCTGACTGCCTCGTGTTTTTTTGAGTCACCTCTCAAACTTTCTGGGAGTTAACTCTGTAGGCTGAATCAGAGAACACTCACACCAAAGATTTTAAAGCCTCTGTACAGTTTTTGTAGCTCCCTTCTAAATCTCTTTTCCCACCATACTCCCACTGAGCAGAAATTTGGCCGCAGCAATTCTTCTGACTGTCTCTTTGAATATAAGCAAAGAAGGATTAATAAGCTTCCCATTTAAATAAGTTTACCTTCCATTAAATAATTCCAAAAAACACTAGATCCCATTAAAAAAAAAAAAAAAGGCAAGCATTCAGCTTCCTGAACAGAGTGAACAAGGTACATGTATAACGATGCTGCTTCTAGAACTACAGCCATTTTGGTAGTTACTAGTTGATAGCATTAAAAACAATTTTTGGTCTATAATCATTTATTCCATGGTTTCAACACAAGGAGCTCCCAAATGATGTTTCAAGCTTTTTCTAGCAACAGATAGATTTCAACAATTTCATAGACACTAAATATGCTCTCCCAAGGAAATATTTCAATTTTTAAGCCATCCTGTAATGTTACCTCAAATTCAAACACCCATTCTAGCACTTTTTAGTCTGATTTGTAACAGTGTTTCTAACTCTAGCCCAGTTTTGTAATGTCAGAGTTTCTCTTTTTTAAGGTATGTATCATTTTATATTTCATAAATAATTCAGCACACAGTACAATGCTACTAAAAGTGACAGAGAGAAGTAGCAAATTAGGAGGAATATTTGTGAGTACAAGGAAAACAAATATTACTTTTACTATTTCAACGCAGAAGAACTAGCAACCTTTAAAAAACAGAAGTCTGACAGAATACAACAAATGCTTGGTAAACCAGATGGGAAGAATTCAAGTGTCCTCTACGCACTATTTTCTCCAGATAAGGTAGGAATGCAATATTCTGCAAGTTGAATCCTACTACAGAATAATTGTAGATGACAGGAATATCATAGCTGGAGCTCACACCTCAGGTCAACCAAATATCTCATTTCCTACAGGCTATGTGATGCAGTGAATGAGTCTTAGTTTTCCTAAATAAGGCACAATACTATATGCTAGTAAGAAGTAATACATTTCTCTATTTCTCTATCTCTTGCTATAATGTATATTTATTTGTATTGTATATTGCAATAGAATACTGGTGAACTACTCTCATCAAGATGTAAAGAGAAAATCCTTTTTTTTTTTTTTTTTTTAAGGCCTTGTTTCAAGCTTAACATTGCACTTAATTTTCATTGGCATAATTGATGGTTAGCCCTGTGAAATGTTTGTTTGCCAACCTACCACTACCACTAAAAGCCTGACTACTAATACAGTCCAACAGGAAATGACACTTTTGATTCATCTAAGTATTATGAATCATATTGCAAGCACTTCCTTTATAGTAATGGTCTAAGAAACAGTAGATATTTGTTTTTAGTATTCACCTCAGAGATCAGGAGCCTTTCCTTTGATTTCAGTGTGGCACAAAGTAATTACAACTGTGTTACTTTTAGTTTAGTTTAACAGTTGTTCTTACCGTATCATAGTCACTTTGGGAATATCCAAATGTAGGGAATTCTTCAATATCTTCCTGGGTCATATACTCCATCTCTTCTCTTACAATCTGTTCAAAAACTCGTCGATAGACCGTAAAGAATCCCTGAAATTAAAAAAAAAAAAGTCTATGATTCATTCTACGTTACTCAATAATAAATGCACAGATGTTCAACTACATTAAGTAGCATATTTCAGAAAAAATTACAATTCAGAGAAAATTACAGTTTGCAAGAGCAACTTGCAATCAAGTAAAGGCTTTGTAAGCATTTTCTCAGCAAGACCCTTCTGTTTAACAACGCTCCCATCGTCTCATTCCTCAGCGTCTGTCTCTCTCAAACTTCAAACATCTGTATTAAACTTTGAACAAACAAACAAACGAAAAAGCTACATCATGCAGGAGATGTTGATAAGTTTCTAGGTACACAGAACCAAGCTTTGAGGAAGTTCCAAATACAAAATTTGCTAAGAATGTATCCCAATTGTATCTTTATTTTTTTAAATTAAGCTGTTGCTAACTCACTCCTACTGTAGTAATGCAAAGACATAAGGACTTTCTCTGAAAGGAGTTATTCTAATCACCTAGAGCTTTTTAAATTATGATTATCTTAAAATCCAACAGGGAATTCAATTATTGGAAGAACACTTCACCTAAGCACTGTTATCATATTGTCTTTCCTTAGTTTGAAGCATTCTAGCTTGTTAAAGACATTACTGAACAAACTGATGCTATTGCAAAGGAATAGAATGCCTCACTATACAGTGCATGTAAATAACATAGACAAACCCTGTAGTTGTACAGTTCAGTTAGGAATCCTGACTAAGTAATTTTTAATAAGCAGGAATCAAAGCTTGCCTAGATAACCAGTGTGGATTTATACAAACACTTGTTATACCACCTGTGCTCAATAACTCCATGCATAGCTTTTCAACACTAAGCAAATGCTGACATTTTTCTTGAAAATTAAATTGATTCATTGAAGATGAACTAATTCATCACCTTTTCGTCATCTCCGTATCCAGAGTAACAGCTGACAGTGAAGTAGTGCAGCAGATCCAGACTATCATCTTGATAGTCTCCATCAACTCCTCCTTTCAGCAGGGCCTCCCTGTGGTTATCATACCTAACAAAAATTCATAGCATCAGTAACATAAGGAAACAGATCCCAGTACGAGACAGGTAACAGCACAATCTCTCGATCAGTAACCCTTATCTTTATGGGAAACTTCAGCTTCCCAGGCATACACTGGGAATATCATACTGACAGGACAAGCAAGCCTGGGAAACTCCTACAGCATGCTGAAGATTAACTTTTTGTCACACGCACCGAGTGAGCCAGCCAGGATGGGTGCTCTCCTCGATCTGTTGTTTGAGAGTAGGGAAGGCCTTGAGGGAGAGGTCATGGCAGGTGTCTTGGCCATAGTGACCATGATGAAATAACGGAGTCATTTTTTGTGTGGGGAGAAAAAAGGTCAGTGGAGTTACCAACCTAGACCTGAGAGAGCAAACCTTAAACTTCTCAGGCAGCTAGCTAGCAGCATCCCCTGGGAATCAACTCTAGAGGGTTTAGGGTGCATGAGAGCTGGTCACTGTTCAAGAACCACCTTTTAATAGTCCATCAGCAGAAGTCCCACTGTGCCACAAGTCAAGCAAGTGGAGAAGAAGCCTGGACTGGCTGAACAGGGAGCTCCTCCCGGGATAAAGGCAGATGGAGAAAATTTATGACCTCTGGAAGCCAGGTCAGGCTTCACAAGCAGATGAGAGAGCTGCGGTTTGCAAGCATGGGAAGAAAACAAGAACAGCCAAAGCCCACCTTGAGTTGACACTGGTCACTGTGGTGTCAGACAACGAAAAGGCTTTTTCAATTATGTCAACAGCAAGAGGAGGTCTAAGGAAAACACTAATACTTGGCAAAGGTGGTGACCTAAGGAGGAGAAAAAGGCAGAGCCCTTTAAGGCCTTTTTTGCCTCAGTTTTTAAGAGTAATGACAAATCTCAGGCTGCCTGATCCTCTGAATTAGAGGACCATGACTATGGGAGCATTGGCTTTCCATATGAGGTCACCAAAATTGAAAAAGCTCTACCATCAAAACATTCATAAGTCCATGGGGCCTCACAGGATTCACCCGGAGTGCTTGAAGAGTTAGAGATGTTACAGCTGGACCCTTCTCAACAATTTAGCAGAGGTTGTGGGAGTCTGGGAAGATCCCTGCTGGCTGGAAGCTAGCCGATACTCTACTTTTCTGCAAAAAAAGCTTGAGAGGGAACCCAGAAAACTGCTGACCTTAGATTAACCTCAAACCCTTAAAGAGTTACGGAGAAGGCTGTCCTGGATGCTACTGAAAGTCAGTTAACGAACAAAGAAATCATCAGGCATAGTCAAACACGGGTTCAGGAAGGTGAATTCCAGCCTTAGTACTTTGATCTCCTTCTGTGATAAGGTCACCCACTTGGTAGACAAAGGAAAGGTGGAAGACTTATCTTTTTGGATTTTAGGAGGCATTTGATGCTGTCCCTCACAGCATCATTCTAGACAAATTGTCCAACTGTGACATGAACAGGTTCACACTATGCTGGGTGCTCACTGGCAGAGCTCAGAGGGTTGTGTAGTGCGTGGGGCTGTGTCTGGGTGGTGGCTGGTCACTAGCAGTGCTCTCCAGGGCTAAATTCTAGGGCCAGTCCTGTTCCACATATTTATCAATGATCTGCATGCAGGAGTGAAACACATCCAGCAGGTTTGTCATTGATAGTAAACTGGGAGGTGCTGTTGACAGCCTGGAAGGATGAGAGGCCTTGCAGAGGGGTCTAGATACCTTAAAATATTGGGTGATCATCAACGACATGAAGTTCAACAAAGGAAAATGATGAATGCTGCACCTGGGACAGGGCAATGGGACACAGCTACAACCTGGGAGATAAGTGGCTGGGGAGCAGGCCAGCAGGATGGGATCTGGGGGTGCTGGTCCACAGCAGGCTCAATGTGAACCAGCAGTGTGCCCTGGCAGCCAAGAGGGCACTTTTTTCTCTCTTCTTAGAGAGAAAAAACCCTGGGTCCTACCTCTTGATATATCTCTTAAATATCTCTTGACCTTTAGTTTACCTACTACGACTTTACCTGCAATAACCATAGTAACAACTTCCCAACAGAAACCTAGCACTAGCATTTGAGCAAGCTGTTTCAGTGAGCTTTCAGAAACGAGAACACCTAAACCACCCAAAAATTGCACGCACACACACAAAAAAACACCATAAATTAGCATATTTCAAGTGAAAAACACTACTTTAAGAAAGGACAAACTTAGTACCTATGTGTTCTTGACTGCATAAGATAGATAGACAGATGCTTCAGCCCATTTGAAAAATGTTACGCGGAGCATTTAACTTAGCAACCTCTTAAAAAGAGATGCGTGTGCATATCTCAAATTAGGGCTGTTATAGTGAGCGGAGGGATTGTCGTGGTTTAACCCGGCCAGCAGCTAAACACCACGCAGCCGTTCGCTCACCCTCCCCCTCCCTCTCTGGGACGGGGGAGAGAAATGGAAAGTGAAGCCTGTGAGTTGAGATAAAGACAATTTAATAAGACAGGAAGATAATAATAATAATAATAATAATAATAATAATAATAATAATAATAATAATAATAATACAATGGTGATAATAGTACTACTACTAATAATGTGTACAAACAAGTGATGCACAATGCAATTGCTCACCACCCGCTGACCGATGCCCTGCCTAACCCTGAGCAGTCTGGCCCCCTCCCCCAGCTAGCCACCTCTATATACCGTTCAGCATGACCCCAGATGGGATGGAATACCCCTTGGGCTAGTTTGGGTCACCTGTCCTGGGTCTGTCCCCTCCCAGCTCTTACTGCACCCCCAGCCTCCCTGTTGGCAGGACAGAGGGAAAGGCTGAGATGTCCTTGGCTTGGTATAAGCACTGCTCTGCAACAATTAAAACATCGGGGTGTTATCAGCACTCTTCTCATCCTAAGCCAAAACACAGCATTCCACCAGCTACTAGGAAGAAAATTCTGTTCTTGCTGAAACCAGGACAGGGATACCTAAGTTAACATGCGAACTGCTTCCCACTCTAGGAGGAGGAAACTGAGGCCAGCACTAACACAACCCCAGGGAACCTCCCCAGTGCCCAGTCCTACACCACCTCGCAAAATACAGCGAGAAAGGTGTGGGTCTGCAGCTACGCCTCCTCAGGAAGCTTCAGGCCTCTCAACTACTGGTTTGCTGGAGCAAAGCACCACGAAGGCTGACTCCAGCTGCTACACAGGCCCCACTCTCACCACCAGCAAGGCCAGGAGGTGAACTCAAAGAAGAGGGGGGAAAAAACGCACACGGTCGGGGGGGGGGAAACGCACATTTTGCAGCCTACCAGCAGGTAAATACGACTCACCACGCTCTCTCCTGTGGGTCACTGAGCACATCATACGCCGCCTGGATTAACTTGAACTGTTCTGCGGCTTCCTCAGCGTTCTCTAGGTTCTTATCTGTGAAGTAATTTATCGAGTTTTACACAGAGCCTAGCAGCAGCCCCCACCACAAGCGCTGAAGGAACCCGGGCCGAGCGCAGGGCGCCACAGGTGCGGTGCCCACCCTCCCCCGTGCCGCCACCCGGCTCCGGAGGCACCTCAGAGGCTTCCCCGGAGCCTCCCCTCCCCTCCCTTTGCCCCTTCTCGCCCCACCGCACACCCCACACGGCCGGGGAGGTCGAGGCCGGGACCGGGGCCGCTTGGCATGGGGCCTGCGGCCGGGCCGGGCCGGGCCTCGCCTGAGGCCGGCGTCCGTACCCGGGTGCCAGCGGAGCGCCAGCCGCCGGTACGCCCGCTTCAGCTCCTCCTCGGCGGCGTCGCGCCGGACACCCAGCACCTCGTAGTGGCACCGCATGGCGCAGGGGACGCGGGGCGGGCAGGGGACGGCTGCGGGGAGCGCCGGCCGGCCGGCAGAACGGGCGGAGCAGGAGGAGGAGGAGCCGGTGGAGCCATAAGGAGCCCGAGCAGCGAGGAGGAGGAGCCCCGCAGAGCTCCTCGCATCGCCCTGCCCAGCCGTGCTGAGGGCGTGGAAGGGGTGGGAGGCTGCAGGGTAAAGTGCGGGAGAGGTTGAGGGGGCTGGGTTTGGTCAGCCCCGAGCACAGCAGGCTGAGGGGAGGGCTCGTGGCAGCCTGCAGCTCCCTCACGAGGAGCTGCCTGCCAAACAGGCAGCCTCACTGATCGCTGCCCGAAAGCTACAACCCCAAAAGTACAACCCCAAATCAAACGGTGCTTCAAAGCTGCAGTGTGAAGTTAACAACTTTTAAGCACTACTGGAAACATTTTTAAAACTTTTATATGGAAAAATCTCCATGGCTAACTTTGAGAAACAAAACCTAAATAGTATATACAACTAAACCAACTCAACAGCAATTTTTGTACCAAAAAATTTGTCTCTGTGTACAACTCTGTAACAGAATTGTGCATTCTTATGCATAATCAGTGCTTAAAAGCAGTGTTCTTATAATAATCACAGGTAGTTAGATATATTTCAGGCTAACATAGCCACATGTTTTTGGTACTCAGTCCAGCTACTGCCTCTTACCTATAAGGTACTTGCAATTAATTTGGCATAAAAAACTAGAATCTTATGTTTGCCTGTTTCTCCCCAGCAGGATAGTTCAGGTCATAAGAATGTTATACAGGAGTTACCACAGGCACAAGAAGTAAGTAAGGTTTTTGTTTTGTTTTCATTCGGTTTTTGTTCATGTTTATTTTTTTTTCATTCTCCAGTCAGACGATGCCTGTAGAATTAAAACTTTACAAAGGATTATCTGCTGCTGTGAAGGACTAGCAAAGCTATCTTTCAAATTCCCATTACGGATAACCAGCAGTGACAACCCGGTTACTTTTATTCCTTGTATGTGTTACATGTTGTTTCCCAGAGGTATTTGAATGTAAGACCAATTACCAAAAGCAGAAATACTTGGAGTTCCTTATTTCCCCTTCCCCATTGCCATGTTTTTCAAAATCCAGAGTCAGCTCAAAGAAAAGACAAAAAAAAAAGTAAAAACTGAACCCCAATGAAGAAACTGGTATTTCGTTTAATTAAAACTGAAGTCTAATTAGCTTTACTTGTAAAAAAAAACACAAGTATTTACAATATTATGTCAATATAGCTAAGAAATATACATAATATAGCTATACCAGACTAAAAGATGACTGAAGTCTGTTTAGTTTCTTTATTTGTAACTTTTAGGCTTTTGCTTCGGTTCTGAAAAGCTTTTTTTGCCTCTTCCTCTCAATTTTGCGTGGTTTCCTCTTATCTTTTACAATTGCCTTCGACTCCGGTTTCACAAGCTGTATTTCCACTGGTTTTTCTTCAGCTGGAGTTTCAAAGACCACTTCGGTGGGATCTTCTTCAATAAGCATCTTACTCTCCTTTTTCTTAAGCTTTTGTACTTCCTTCACTTGATTTTTCTCTCTAAATTTAGCAGCCATTGACAACCTTATCAACCGTCGATGCTATTAAAAATGAGAATTTTAATTAAAACAGATGTCAAACAAGCAAGATGGAAGAAATCATAAGGTATTGTAACAACAGGTGGGGATTTCTCTGCTTAATTGCAAAAAATCCACAATATGTCATCTTTCCACTGACAAAAACTTTGCATTCAATTTTTGCACAATTACTCTGTTCTCAAACTATGATTAGTTAGCGCACTCTTTCCTACAAAGAGGTCCAGGGCATATGTGGCTTGAGATAGAGGGATTGCAATCTTCAAATTAACTGCTAAAGAGAAAACAAAGACAAGGCTGCTTACCATATTTGGGGACTGATAATAGGGATTTTCATATAAAGTTGGTCCTCCAAAGCTACCCTGGAAGATTTTTATGAGGTTCAGGACAAAACGAGGCCCAATTTCTACTAGAGATGCATCCTCTTCAATTATCTGCAGTAAAAGAATATTCTCTTTATTTCTCATAGATTTAGTCAATGTATACAAACAACATATACACACTTCACACACGGTGATGCGTAACAATTTAAATCCAAGATATGATGCCACTGAATTTGGTAAGCTAGACTTCTACAAGCAAAGTTCTGTATATAAAGAAGTTCTTACACGTTCAAGCAAGCACTTCAGAATACTACGCATTTGTGAATTCTTCCTTTAGAAAAGAAGTGCCAGCATACTTTAGGCCAAAGTGTGAATTCAAGTTAAAAGACAAGTGAAGGCTTTGGCTACCTACTACCTCCTCTTACCAAAACACTCATCAAAAAAACACAACTAAGAGAGCATAAGCTTAACTTGACAAAACTGAAATTATCTCCACATGTATAGAAAGTTTGAAGTTATTTTATCAAAATATGCCAATGCCCATTGCTTGCACAATTAATGTAAATAATTAATTTTAATTAATTATTGTAATTGACATGAAGTTACTCCACTAAGCACCAGTGAAAGAGCTAAGAGACCACTAACCTGGTAATTCCGAAACCAGATCCTATTGTCTGTAATGGTGAATGTGAAAACATGATCTACAAAAGGCTGGCTTTTCGGGTGATACTGTGGCGTACTAAATATCTGTAATAAAAGACAGTACTTCTAAATATCTAATTGTAAGAGGCCAAACATAAATAGCTTTATTTCATTTTACGTTTTTAAGATTCCAATCCCAGGTTACATAAAAGAAACTTAAGAAAAAGAATCCCAGGGACTGAGAGTGACTCTAATCCTCTTAAGATTTTCTGCAAATACAGAAGTGTAAAATTAACGTGGAAAAAAAAAAAAAAAGATTTTAAAGTAAGTTGCCAAAGACGATTTCTAAGCTAAAGACTGACCTGAATAAACAATTCTTTTAGCAGGGCATAGTGTGGCTCCTTGTCAAATGTCTAAAAAGGAAAAGAGTAGTTTTATATACATGATTAAATACAACAGTCATGTAAAGAAAATGAACACAATCAATTAAATATAAAACTTGTACTTACTGGATCAAAAGACAAAAGGGGCCGTGAGCCTCTCAAGCAGTTTCCTGTCATCTTCAATTCAGCCAGTGTGTGAACTAGTGATTTTTTTAAAAAGATCATTTTAGTACTTAAAGAAAGCCATTCAGGCAAGAAAGTAAGAGTCTAAAAACAATAATAGCAACCAACTTACTGTTCTGCACTAAGAATTTAGCTGATGGTCCCTGTGGTGTATTTGAAAGCCTGCACAGGAAAGGCAGTGGGAAAGAAAAAAGCAAAATGTTAGTAGGAGACAGAAAGATACACTGGATTTCTACAGTACACTCCAACAAATTATTTCTGCATTGAAGTAATTTCAATCACTTTTATAGCAGTATCAAGTTCCTTCAAGATATTTGTGCATACTTGCTTTCTGAACAATTTTGTAAAAATGTTTCCATAAGCAGTATGAAAACCAGTCATGTGTTTTAAGCTTGCACTACCTACAGCAGAAACATAAGATTATTTCAAATTTAACTAAGCAACACTAGTTCATGTATCCACACTATTACAGTAACAAACTACAGACAGAAGCATCACCAATTATCTATAGAAACATGAGGAAAACATAGAATTACTTACCACACATAGAGATCTTGTTTCTTTTTGGCTTCAAAGAAGATGCACTTATTGCAGTTTTTCATTTCACACACCTAAACAAGATATATCAAATCAGTTATTTACAATGCTTTGTGAAGACATTTTCAAAAGCTTTCTATGTTTCCATATCCATTTCCAACATCATTCCTCCTCCCAAAATAAAAGTTAAAAAGCTCATTATTTGTCTCATTTTAACAAATTACACTTACTGACCCCCAAATCAAGTTTCAAGCACTTGTTTTGTTAAAAAATATAAAATCCTTATTACCAGAAGTAATAACTCTCCTACAGCTAAAAGCAACCTGATACGCTCTCCAGAATATGAACATTAGAGCAGGAGTTGTAACATTAGGTTCTAGTTTCAGCACTACCAGTATCTTACTAAGCCATTTGGCCTGCTTGGGTATTTATTCCTTGATTTCTTAAAATATAAACTGTAATACATCCATTACCTATACAGAACGGCATATTCTGTTTTCTATCTCCATGGCAAAAAGACTGTATTTAAATGTTTTATTAATCACAAGTCAACTTCCCATTTTATCAGTAACACTTTTTCAGTATAAACAGTTTTCACTTTTGCAGTTACACAACTCCCTTAACTAGTACAAGATCCTTTGATCTTGGCTGCCTTTTTCTTGTGTGTTAAATTTCTACAGAAAATTAAAAGGAAGCACTACTTAAATCCTGAATTACCTCATTAATTACAAACAACTTGTCTTTGCGATCCATTTTAGTATCTGGAAGACAAAAACAACATTGAGAAGGCTTGTACACTGATTTAACACAAGTAATTTTTTTTTAATCAGTCTGCATAATTTTTTACTAGCTGTAAACGAAAGATGCATAACTATCAAGTTTTTCCAGACATGTTCTACAATAGATTGGTAAAGCAAAAAAGTATCCTTACAAGACAGAAACCATAGGCGTTGTTTCCCAGAGTACTATGACACAACATTTGCTGTATTTGCTCAAATTTATTTATTTTTTATATATTTATTTTTTTTAGAATAAGAGGCCACAGTTCCATCAGAACAGCTGCATACAACATCTTAAAAAGAACAGGATATTGGAAGTGCTTGGTTTAAAACGACTCTGAATATGCATTAGGAATGATGCCCAGCCCTACCTGCTTTAGAGTGAGGCATCAGCGTTCTTAAGTCTTGCATTAGGTGCCTTGTTCTGAAATTAATTCCACGAGAGGAGAAAATAAGCACCCGTTCCTTGTTCTTCCATTTACCCTAGGGAAAAAAAAAAAATCACAAGAAGTGAGCTTCTTAAAGCTACAACCACAGAGCAAATGTTTGAACTGTAGTAACAGAAAAGCAGAGTAAGACCATATGTTACCATCTTGACTCATGCACAGAACCTCTCACTTTGCAAAAGCGCTGAAACATGTTTTCACATGAACTACTGCTATCATTAACACTTCACAAAGTCCCTATGGGTAAGATTTTTAACTACAAATCATATAAGTATTAACAAAACCCTGTGCAATACTTAGTCCGAAAGCATTAATCTGAAGCTCCTCCTCCTTTAGGAAATGAACTGAGCTACAGCCTGGGCACAGGAAAGCTCAGCCACGAGGAAGAGAGGAGGTCTCAGGCACCCACATGCTTCTGGGCTTTCTTTTAAACTAACTAAAAGGCTGATTTTGAAGCCTGCTCGGGATGATCCCGACATGAAACATGCATGGTATTTATCTGGCCCTTCGTATATAACAGAATTACAGAATATATATGCTATGTATATATCATGTAATTTAAAATTCTTGCTTTTGTGCATGCAAGGATTATAAAGCCAGGAACACGCCTTTCCCCCCTCACACACCAGCCGGGTCCCCGTCCCCCCAACCCCCCCGACCCCGACCCCAACCACCACACCACTCGGTCCCCGGCACCACGTTGCTCCGCAGAGCTCGGAGCCGCCTCCTCCCAGCCGTGTGCCACGCCGACCCCAACCACCACACCTGAGACACCGGAGCCGGGATGCTGTACTCCTGCGGGCCGGGCTTGGCGTCGGCAGCCGCCTCAGGCTCGCCGGGGCTCCCCTTGGCTCGCTTCTTGGGCCGGGCGCCCGCCGCCGCGCCACCTTTCCTCTTGGCCGCCGCCATCTTAGGATGCACCGCGGCGCTGCCCGCCCGCCCTTCCGCCAGCCCCGGAACCGCTCCCGCTGCCTCATGCCGCGGTCGCCCCGCCCCGGTAGATCGCGATAGATCCCGATAGATCGCGATAGAGCCCGGTGAGCCCTGCCGGGCCTCGCCATGCCGCTCTCCACGCAGCCGCTCGGCAGCGGGGAGCCGTACGTGCTGACGGCCAGCTTGGACAATGCCCGCAACCTGTCCAGCCTCCTGAGGGCCGTGCAGTTCCAGGACCACGCCACCTGCTTCGCCACGGCCAACGGGCTGCGGGTGACGGTGGAGGATGCCAAATGCATCCAGGCCAACGCCTTCATCCAGGTAGGGGACGAGCTGCTAACAGCGGGACCCCCGTTAAGGGGTGAGGAAGGGGCTGGTGGCAGTGACAGAGACCCTAGGAAAGCCCAGAGTGCGTGGTGGGGGTGTACAGGATTTTACCTGTGGGGAAAGGGGAATCTTTGGGAAAACCATGGAATAGTTGCAGACGCTGACGTGAGGGAGGTACGCTGGATAGGCTGTGTATGAATAGGCCACATGTGTATAGATATATCTATTTTATAAGGTAGTAGAATCGTTTAGGTTGGAAACAACCTTGAAAGGCATAAAGCCCAACCATCAGACTGACCTGCCGAGTCCCATCCCTAACCCTGAGCCCTGTCCCTAAGCCATGCCCCTTGCTGCCACAGCCACACGTCTTTTACATACCTCCAGGGATGAAAATTCCACTACTTCCCTGGGCAGCCCATTCCAATGCTTGACCACCCTCTCCATGAAGAAATTCTTCCTGATATACAGTCTAAATTTACTTTGGTGCAACTTGAGGCTGTTTCCTCATGTCCAGTCACTTGTTTATTTGAGAAAAGAGACTGACAGCCCTCCTTGCTACAGCCTCTTTTCAGGAAGTTGTAGAGAACAACGAGGTCTCCCCTCAGCCTCCTCCAAACTAAACAGCCCCAGTTCCCTCAGGTGATGCTCATACATCTTGTTTTCTACACCCTTCACCAACTTTGTTGGTCTTCTCTGCACAGGCTCGAGATGACACAGTACTGATAGGCTGAACTCAGCACCTAGTTCATTCATGCATGCCTGCTTGTATCCTTCTTTCATGGGCTGGCACCTGCTAAGCCTATGGCTCCTTCTGACAGTACCATGCCTAGATTTGTGAGCAGGTTCCTGTGAGAATGTTGAGCTGCCAGGTGAGTTCACCACATGTGCTGAAGCATGCCTGTGACTAGGCTTGGTACTGGTAGGCCTAACTACCTCTTGGTGGTCACTGGGCATCAGCTACTTTGTGGCAGCCACCGGAACAAAGTATCTCAGAAAAAAAGCAGGGCGATTTGGGCTGCTTTTGAAAAAGCAGTTACACATTCCTATTTTTTGAAATTTTTCTTCATTCTTCTTGCTAAAAATCAAGTCTTGTTTCTGGAGAAGTGGGGCATTTACATTGCATAGTTTTCTGAATGTTTACAGCCCCAGAACTAGGCAACTGTAGGCTTTAACATTTGTAGCTTGTATTAAGCTATAAAAGAAAACTGTGTAGGTTTTCATGGATATGATGTACTATTTTGTTTAAACTGTGACCTGATTTATTTTATTAGTTTTTGAGGATGATGACCTATTTTTCTTTAATGGATATTGTGTTACATGTAGCAATTGCTTTGTATTGCACTGGTCTCTGAAAGCAAAAGCATTCAATTTAAGAAGATAAGATTAAAATGTAAAATAATTACAAAAGCTTCCCTCTTTTCATCTCTTTACTTTTTCTCTCATAGGCAGACATTTTTCAGGAATTTTCTGTTCAGGAGGAATCAGTGACATTCAGGATCAATTTGGCTGTTCTTCTGGACTGCTTGACTATTTTTGGTGCCAGTTCTACTCCAGGTATGGTGCATATTTACCTTGACCTTTATGTGTATCACCTGTAATTACATAGCGAAATCTGTGCACAACCATAGGGAGCTTTTCAATCTTGGCAAAACTTCTGACTTCCTCACCTGAAGTCCATCCGAGGATGGCAGCTCTCACTGCTAAGCAGAGTCCACCCCATTTGCCTAACCTAGTGCAAGTGTATGCAGTCACAACAGTCAATGCAGAGGTGAAAAGGGGATGATGAGTGTGTGTCAGGGACTGCTGCAGAATGAGATGGTAAAAGAGGCTGGCTCAGCTTGGAAGATGGAATTAAAAATGCATGTGTGTGTGACATGTTTGGGGTAACTGAGAAACAGAAGGGTCTTCTTGTGAAGATAATGTTTCTTGCATCTATGTAAAACACAAAACAGCCACTTGTTTTGGGAGAGAACCCTTCTGTGGCATGAGGTGCAGTGAACAACCCCAGTTCACATGCTTGCTGTGGTTTGGGGCTGAAAATCTCAAAAGATTTTGTAATCTCGATAAGAAGACATGTCAAGTAATTTGGACAAGAAAGTCATGTGACTTGCTTGATTAGAACTCAGACTGCAGTTCTAATGCTTAAGCCCATACTGTCCCCCAGGACTGATACACACCACGAGCACCTTTTTGTTTTCAGTCCAGAGCCAGATCACCAACATCATACAAATGCTAACTTCACTTAAGGGTAAAAAACTTATGCACAGCTGGCAGAGCTATTAACGCTGAACTATTTCACATCCAACTTCATTACCACAGCTAGCATTACCCATTTGGTACATGGCACAAGTTGCATGTGAACTGTTTTATGTGTACACATCATTTCATTTTACTGCATAAGATAACACTTGAAAGGGTGTATAGGAGGCTACACTAAACATGCAACATTAACATACTGGAGGATGGACTAAACATGCTAAATTAAAATGATTTGTGCCTCATTTGACAGTAAAATCTGAATTTCCTAAAGTGATCAAATACACTAATTGTTTTTTTGAAGAATGTGTATTTTGTTCTCTTTTTCAGGAACACCAACAGCTCTCAAGATGTGTTATCGTGGCTATGGCTATCCCTTGATGCTGTTCTTAGAAGAAGGAGGAGTAGTGACAGTGTGCAGAATTAACACTCAGGAACCTGAGGACTTGTTAGACTTTGATTTCTGCAGTACCAATGTTGTCAACAAAATTATCCTGCAGTCAGAGGGACTACGAGAAGCATTTGCTGAACTAGATATGACAAGTGAAGTTCTGCAGATCACCATGTCTCCAGATAAACCATATTTCAGGTACTGGAAATGAGACTTTCAACTCAAATGTTCATGCCTTGCCTTTTTGCTTTTCAGCAGGTAAAGACTGGAATTTTCCAGGGTGAAGAGGGGGAACTGTTTTAGAATATTGGTTTATTTCAAGGACAGTTGCAATGAATATAGCAAATCACAGTATGTAATTTCATTAACGTAGAAATTAATATATGGACTACCTGATAAATGTGACTCTAATACGCACAGTTTAGCATGTATAGTTAAATAAAGCAGAACAAACAATAGTGTTTTGTGAAATAGACATAGAGATGTACAGGCCAACTGCTTCTGACAAATTTTCTGTAGAGCTTCTGTCAGGTGTTTTGAGATGGTGCCTTTTGTCTTCCAGGTTATCCACTTTTGGAAATGCAGGAAGTGCACATCTGGACTATCCCAAGGACTCTGATTTGGTGGAAGCGTTCCACTGCAACCAAACCCAGACAAACAGGTGAGTAAATCTGTAACCAGAGCACTCTGTGGCAGGCCATCAATTCTGGATGGGAAGTATAAGAAACTGCTTTTGTGCTGTCGTGACATTTACTTCATTAGTAAAGGTGAAAAAAAATAATTTCCGTCTGATCAAAAGCTCTATACCATAACAACATCTGTCTGATGACGTTGCCAGGAAAAGATGAAATTAACATGTTGCTAATTGATTTTTAGTCATTACATAGGCTTTAATTCGGAGTAGTGTTTCAGCTAAACTCTGCATAACGTTTTTTTCAAATGGTATTTTTCTTCCCTACAGGTACAAGATTTCTTTGATTAAACCATCTACAAAGGCACTGGCTTTATCTTGTAAAGTCTCCATTCGAACAGATAACCGAGGATTTCTTTCACTGCAGTATATGATTAGGAATGAAGATGGACAGATCTGTTTTGTGGAATACTACTGTTGCCCTGATGAAGATATTGCTGAAGCAGAGCTGTAGGTGTACGTTCTGGTATCTGTATTATATTTATGAATATATAAAATGCTATATTTTTTTTTAATAAAAATGAACAAAAGCTATAAAGATTGATAGTCTTGGTAACTGTCTTCTATTTTTTAAACTGTGGAACTGGAAATATGAAGACTTATTTCATATTCCCCTGCCAGTATTTCTTAGCCTTGACCCAAAAAGCTTCAGCTCAAAGAACAGAAAGGGGAATTAGTCCCTAGTAGTTATTGGTGTTAAAAGTGGTGTTCTTGTAATACACTGCTTCACTTATGGTGCTCTCCAAGTATTTTGGTTTGTGTTTTGTTTTTTTGTCATTTTTTGTGTTCCAAGAAATTACTAGGGGAAGTCTGAGTACTAGCTGTGTGTTAGACAGCCAGTTAACTTCAGTGACTTAAAAGTAAAACCGAGTTTGTCTGGAAAGAGGATGGCATTTTCAATCTGTTTTCTTAACAGCAGCAGGTGGTTTCTTTTTGGCAAATGCTGACTTTTTTTTTTTTTTTTTTTTGTGAAACCACTGAGCTTTTCATCAGCATGATTAATTCCTAGTCTAACTCAATTCCTTAGGATTTCACCTCAGATCAGCTTACCCCTTTGTCTGCAGTACGGGTAAATTGAATTGTTAAATCAAGATGGAGTCCAGGGTGTACTTATTCATTACTCATAAATGTTCTGGCAATGTTATTAGTTTGTGTTTAAGTCATTTATTACATATCCTCAAGAAACACTGCTGCTGAAATGTTTCCTTACATACTTGTTCCCATTCCTACACTGCTATGCTGCAACCTAAAAGCTTCTACCAGCTTTTAATATAAGGAGAATGTTCTAGAGTACTTGTTTGGGAGATAAAAGTCCTGTAGACTTGTTTATATAATTTTGTAAAAGACTTCATTAAAGGGTCTTTGCCTTCTACTCATGACTAACTGGAATTAAATGACTTGCACGCTCTCTTTCAGTGTTTAGGTCAGTCAGTTGCACAGACTTTGACAGCTTTCTTTATTCTGTTATTCTTTCTAAGTTCTGTTATATGGGGCCTGTATTGGGTCACAAATAGTGCTAGACTAATCCTATATAAATCTGGTAAGAATCACAAGAGAGAAAAATTTTGTATTTGAAATTGCCTCTGAAATGGATTTACCTCCTTAGTAGCCTTTGTCAGAAACAGGATGGACTCCTGAACCGCATTAAAGGAATGTCTGTGGGATGAAGTCATACCACTGCTAAAAATGAGCCTAACCTCTTGGTTGCCAAAAGGAGAGTGCAGTTTCTGGAGAGTTTTCTGCAGTGCCAAGCTCTGCAAAGCAATGAGATGGGCTGTACTTCGATCAAAAGTTGCACTTCTCCTTTCACATTTCTCCTTTGCAGAGTCTCCTCCAAACATGTGGCCCACTGAACCAGCTGGGTCTCGAACCAGATACAGACACTGCAAATAATGCTGTAAGAGCCTGAAGGTTTGCTGCTGCAGCATGGGATCCAGAGAGTCTGATCAGTGGATGGTTTCTGTGGTGTTGGTCAAGTTTTGGTGTTTGTCAGAAGATGAGGTCCTTCCTTGCACACTTGGAAATCAATATATTCCTATGTCACCAAGTAGGTTGCCCCACAACTCAACAGGATCCAAATCCTTTGGGTTTATTTCATGTTATTAATAATAATGTTTTTGTAGACCATTCTTCACCTCTTGCTCATGTCAGCAATCCATTTAACTGTATACTTTCATGGTCTTCTGTGCAAATCATCCATTTAGTGAAATACATTTATATTTTAAAAATAACTACAAATCTTTAAAGTAGAAGACTGATAAACATAACTAACAATGTTCTAAATTCCTTTTATTTACTGTTTGTTTTTCAAACTGAAGTATTCAGTATAGGTAAACTTAATTCTGATCTAGGATCTCAATTTCTTCAATGAAAAGAATTAGTATAATGGCCTCATTGGGAATTATTTATATGATGCCTGACTACTGAGTGTTAAGAATGACAGGATAAAAATGAAACTGAACATATGATTTTTCTCAGTGTGATTTATTTTAGAGTATTGAAGTTCCTTGTATTGTGCTCAAGGACATTGCTGTGGCTTAACATCTGTACTTTTACATAATTGACCACAGATGTACTATATTACTTCTCAAAATAGTACTTTTAAGAATTTATTCTGTAATTACCAACAGCGATCATGGAAATAATATCTTGAGAAGTTAGAACACTTCAAAATACCAAAAACTAGCTGTTCCATTTCATAAATAACTGCTATTACAGACATGCAAGATCTTTTCAAAACTTAGGTTTGTAGCCCTCAGGACCAGCTCAGGCCCTAGATTCACAGAGGTGGGGAGATGCTTGTACACAAATGCTTTCATGGATATACATGTACTTCTAGGTAGGGAAAAACAAGAAGTCTGGGTAAGGAAATGAAATTACTGTGCAAGTAAGGCAAGGCAGGGTTTTAAGAAGCACCTATGATGGCATCTATTACATCTCTGTCTTCAGCTACAGTAAAATAAAAAGGTTGGTGCCCATCCACCACCATTTGGTTCTGTAAGGACTGCTGAACACAAAATCACCAGGAAGGAACTGAGTTCTACACCTCTGTTAGCCATGGTAAGTAATCTATTATTTAATTATGTGTGGATGTATCAGGAAATGCATTATTGACTAGAAAGGTCTTTGATGATGTTAGTGGAGTAGCTGGAAAAGTTGATACAAGGCACGAGCTGATTCCTGTAGGTGGCTATTTTGAACATCTTGTAGCAGCTTATGAAGCCCCAGGAATCCAGTAGGTGGGCGTTACTAAATATGTAGAGTGTGCATAAAGAGTAATAGTAGCACTGAGTTGTACTTTTGCTGATGGAACACTAACATTAAACTGAATAAATATGGAACTATTTAAAAAAAAAAAAAAAGTCATTACAAACTAGAAGCTTGGTATTACCTTCTGGAGACAGAAACCCATTTTTATATGAATTAATCTTTGAGGGGGAGCAGGGCTACTTAGGTAGAAATGGAAGCAAGGGTCCATTACAGACTGCTGCAGCATCTTTCTACTGTACTTCTCACTCTTGTCAGGCTCCAACAACTAATGTGGCAGTGTATTAGCACAGCTAGATCAAATTGTAAGGGCTCTGCAAAGGAATGAGCGTTGTAGGGAAATGTAATCAAGTGCCACTAAGCTCTGATCTGTGGAGTTAATACACCGTGAGAAGGATGCATGAATATCCAAGAGAGGTGAATGTCATTCTGTTCAAGCCTCCAGGGAGAAATACACCTGACAGGAGCATAGCAAAAGCTGAAGTACCTTTAACACCGCCAGCTTTGATGCAACAGCCCAGAGCACTGTGTGTATTCTTTACACTTCAGAGAGTTAATTAAAACAAAACAAAACAAGACAAAACAAAACAAAACAAAAAGGCAAAGTGTGGTATTACAGCTACCCTACTGAACAGGTTAAAAATTTCTCCAATTTTTCCATCTGCTAGACAGATACTGCCCATTGTATGGTCACACTGAACCACTTGCACACTGATGTCCTCACGACAGCTGCTTTGCCTTTCAGGAAGTCTTTCAGCAGAGTGCAGGCCTGCTAGACAGAAAAAGCTGCAACTCAGATTATCTGCAAATATGCTAAATTTATAAAAAAATATCAGTTTTTAGAACGATTTTTTGGAGGCTTTCCTGGTGCGTGCCTAATGCAGTACACATCATCATTCCCAGGCATGAGGAACTTTTCTCACAACAAACAATTTGTACAACAAACAATTCCAGGAAAAATTCCCCTTTTCCTATACCGTCAGAAATCGGAACCTCTGTGAGGCAGGTCACCTCTTAGGAAATGCCTCGCTTGACATCAGACATCCAAATGCCAAGTCATCTGTATACAGGACATGTCTGGCACTTGGGCAAGCATGTCAAGGATTTTGAAGCACAAATGTAAAGCTATTGAAAAAAAATCAACATATGCATATAAATATGTATATATTTACATATGTTTTTATATTGTAATTGCTGTTTGGAATATAACTTCAAAAACCCCATGGGGATGTTGCCCTTTCCTATATTTTCAAATATATTTGGCATCAGTTCAGCACCATTAATTGGGACAACCAAAAATGCTACCACTGCATTGCGTGTCTCTCCCTCATCCCTTACTGGGCTGGAGTCACTCGCAGCCAGTGAGCAGCTCATGCCAGCATTCAGATTTGCAGAAAAACCTCTAAGCAAATATCTGTCCTTACCTCATTTTTCCCCAGACAGACTGGCCTGTTGCTGAATCTCTCAGCAGTGCTAAGAGCCCATGAATTATCTGCACCCAGTGTCACTTGTAAGGCATTGAGGCTCTCTGTAAAGCATGTTCAGTGACCTCCAGTAGAAGTGTGCACTGATGACTCCCATCTGATCCCATTTCTCCCAGAACAAGCCTTCACCTCACCAGCGCTGACCTCAGGAATCAGGAGCAGCTGTGCGAGAACAAAAGGATGCCAGGATGAACCTTGGTGCTTTGTGGACGTGAAGAGATGGGGTTTCATCTCCCAGGAAATCAAGTCAAAGATTTTGCTGCCTCTGTTGTCTTGGGAGTGTTTTTTTTTGTTTGTTTGTTTTAAGGCAGGGCCAAAATTGTCCACTGTGGGCAGTGTGAAGTGCTTCTTCAGTGACAAAATAAAAAAACTTTGGGCATTCAAGAGTCTCTAGGCCAGCTCAGATTTACACCCATGCATATCCTTATATTCTCTGCATTTAGTCTCTGAGTTTACCTGTATCATCACTGCTTTTTGCATTTTTCAGCATTTTTTCAGCATTCCATCATTTTTTCCCTACAGACAGAGGCTTCCCCTTTTCTCTTCCTGGAGTCAGATTTGGAACACAAAGGTCCCAAGGTCCTCAACTCAGAGTGACCTAAGTCTTCCTATGCAATGATGTATCTGTGCAAGTTACTTTAACACTGAGTTAATGTGATTAATGGAATCTTTCTTACCTGAAACAAGTATCTTGGAGCACTCACATGGTTTTCCATGTGAGTGCTCTTCAGTTTGGGCAAGGTCCCACATAGATGTTTGAGTTCAGGTGACACCTTTCCTATGGGTGAAATGACCACATTGGCTGCTCTTTGCCATGCCAGCATCATTTTTTTGAACACTTACTTCAGCTGTTCATCGTGATCAGTTTTTGGTTAAATGAAACTATTTCTCTCACATGTCGCTGCTCTTCCTGACTCCACAAGGTGCAAACATCCAGGTCAGAGCTTTTGGGCTGAGCACAGTGTGGGCTTCATGGGTGAGGGCATTTTGGGGCCGGAGCCTGCACAGAGCTCCGAGGGGCTGGGGAAACAAAGGCACAGCTTTGGCGCTGACCTGTCCATCTTGTGGCACCTATAGCTTGGTCCTAACTTTCTGGAAATGGAAAAAGAGGAGGTTTTGCAGGAGGTTTTTGGCCAGCAGAGGGCATGAGCTGACCCTGCCTGCGCTCCTGAGTCCCACGGGCTGCTCCTCACCTCCTTGCTCGTGCAGGAGGCTCAGCACTCGTGCTTGGGTGAGAAACATGCTGGAAGCATCTCCCTGGCTGAACCAGGTGGTTGCTGTCCTCCAGCTCCCTGCTTTTTGTCCCAAAACTTTGGTCACCACCTCCTAAAATGCCTCCTCTTAGTTTTAGCTCTGATCTCAGCTGAGGCTGCCCCCCACCTAGCCTGGGACGTTTCTACATTTGCTGTCACAAGGCTGTCCTGCTCACTGCAAAAGGATGTCACGGCTTGGATGGAGGAAATGTAAAATGAAGTTATGCACCATTAATGTGCGCTTATGAAGCCTTCTGTAATAGGTACATTAGGGGAAAATTGCTTTCGAACAATTTTTGCTCTGTGTATTTGCTCTGTGTGAGACGTGCTGCATCCCCAGCAAAGCAAGGAGTTACCAAGGGCCCAAATTTTTCTCCCTTTTCCTCCCCAGATGTTGGCAGGGACTCCCTCCCCATAAGGATGCATTTGTCTGAGTCAGATGGGGAGGATACATATGGTCACAAAGCATAAAAATCCACCCAGGTACCCACCACACGGTTTGCTGCCGTATAACTCTACAGCGTGCATGAGGGTGCAATTTGAATTTGTTTTAGTCTCAGTCTGGTCCCACTTTGGCACCATCCTGTTAACACTGAAATGCTTACAACAAAAAATTGGAGAGACAGTGTGTGCTGACAACAGGATTTTTCTGCTGCTCCTTCCTTATCAGTACTTCATTTCCTCACCATCCCTCTGACTAACTCAGGGAAATGCAATGCCTCGCAAGCCGTCTCTCCCAAAAGAGATATGGGGTCCTGGCTCAGCCTAATTATAGTTTGCTCATTTGTATGAATGTACAGCCCTGGGAGAAAGGCAGCATGCACGCAACCTCCTCTCCCAGATGACTCGGCAAGCACACCTGTGGCTGGGTCCCAGATTACACTTCCTTCAAAATTTTCCTCAGATGTAGACACTGAGGTCATGGCCAAGTTTTAGTGTCTACATCTTCTCTCAAAGACCTACTGTACGACAAGATCTGGTACCAGCTAGCAATCCCTCAGACTAAAGCTCTCTTGACCCCAGGAAGCACGGCCACCCTGCGGTGATGTCTGCCAGTCTCCCACTTCAAGGGATCTGTGAACAGACACCTGCAAGTCACTTGTACTCACCTCCTCATCCTACAAAACTTTTTTGCAGGACCCCATTAACAAAGCCAGTTTAGGGATTTTTCAGGTGTTTTCCTTGCAGTTCAACAGGTCCATGATACACATGAAAGTAACCAGAGAGCTGCAGGTGAGCCCTGTGCCAGCTTTCAGAGCCATCCCTACAGATGATCCTGAGAAAAGCCCTGCAGAGGATCAGCTCCAGAGTGGCTCCAGCTTTGTTGGAGGCTGGTTTTTACTGACAGGCCTGGAGGGGGAGCTGGGCTTTATGGTTTCCTGCTTTGAGGCTGGTGAAAGGGGAAGAGTAAAGCTGTCGCTGGAGAATTCTGCAGCCTCCTACTTTTTCCAGCTCAGATGGAACTCTGGGCTTGGCCAAAAATGAGCAAGCCAGCAGAAAACTGAAAGGCACCGAAATCAACCCTGTATTTACATAATTAGATAACATGTGGAGATTTTACTCTGTAAATACAGTGCAGTGATTAATTTGATAAGACAGTAATGGTGGGGTTTTTGCAGCAGCACCAAACTGCAAAGCCTCTGCCTGCTTGGAAAGCAGACTGATGGCTGAGGAGACAGACTTCTAAGATTTGTACACACCTCTGTACAGTCCCAAAATCAGAGGAGTGAGCATTTAGGTTCAAAGCTGTTCCCTTGAACCCCACAGGGACATGCTGAAGGCCCTGGTCCAGGCTATGCCTGCCCATGCAGATGCTCCCAGGCAAGGACAGTTGGGGTTTGCACTGCTGGAAGCTCACTTTGCAAAACACTGGGCCACCTTCAGAAGGGAACAGGCTGATACAGAGCTGTGCCTGGCAGGAATCACAGTTTGGCCTTGGCCAAAACCATGCCACGAACCATCCCAAATGGTAGGGATGGTCTCCTTACAGCACCAAAGGATATTCCCGACCATTTGTGTAGGTGCAGCCTGATCAACCACCAAGAACACATTTCTTCTCCCAGTGGTTTTGCAGCTGTTTGCCTCAATGCAGGGATCTCTCTCTCTCTCTTTCAGATGCTGCCTGCAGGTAGTTGGAGGCATGAGGCATAAAATGGGTCCTGGAGGAGATGGGGGTACCCCCATGTTATCACCTGCTCGCAGCACTGAGGAGCACCCAGGTCCCCTGCAAGCAGCTGCACTCTGGAGATGCCCCGGTGTCCCCAACAGAGCAGCACAGCCTCTGGGGAAGGCTGGATCCTGGCCAGCTGCCCTGGGGTGGTCGGAGGCCCCTTCCCCCTTGGGGTAGGATTTGTGACCAAATTTCTGGTGCTGCAGGGATGAGATGCACTGTGCCAGGCTGCAGTCTCAGCTACCGTACAGCCTGGGCAAGGTGCCTGTGGGAAGATCCTCAGTGAAGCTGTGGCAGTGGGAAAGCCAGGGCTGCATCACAGCTGTGGTCCCCAGGGGCACCCGGGCTGTGACTTAGCACCAGGGCACTCTGCAGCTGCAGTCCTGGGCAGTGGCGCTGAGCCACCAAGGAGAGCTGCTGGGGAGGGACCCAGATGGCAGCTGTGCACCATCCCCTTTAGTGTCATAGCCCAGACCAGGCAATCACGCAGGGCTTTAATTACACTCATATTTGCAAGGGAACATGCTGCCAGAGACACATTAGCCAAAGCATCTGCAGAGGAAGTGCTGACCCTTGCCAGCAGAACAGCACCAAGCTTAAAACCACTGCAGATGCCACGCAGTGCAGGGCTTCCACGGCTTGCTCCTGAAGCCACCTCGCACGCGGTGCAGGGGACAAAGCAGGAGCACATGCTGCCCTCCCCACGGAGGCAGCAGCCCTGCTAACTGCCCCACACTGTGACCTTCCAACTGGCACCTGGCTCCGCAGCATCTGCACGGCTGCGTTGGGCCCAGCTCTGTGACATCTGGCCAGATGTTGCCCCCACCCAGCTGTGCTGAGCACAGCATTGCTCCTTTGGGAGCTGCACTGCTGAGTGTGAAAACCTAGAGGAGCTACTTCTAGGAACAAGGGCAGCCCAGACCTTTCTGCTCTGTGCCCTCAATCCCTACAGCTTTTTCACCTGAAAGAGGATGGCTGCTTTTAGTTTTCTGTCCCTCCCCAACTCTTTTCCTGTCTGGAAAAAAGCAGCTTAATCCAGCCCTACCCTTGCTCCCCAGCCTCTCTTTTCAGGGATACCTCCTGGTGGGCAGCAAAGTGCTTACGGAGAAGCAAAGGCATCCAAACATTTTTGGACAGGGCTTTGGCGCATGCAACTGGGTGCAAGGCATTCTCTGCTTTAGGACAGGAAGTGCATGAGGAGCGCTCCAGCTGCAAGCCCAACCACCACCAGGGAGCACTTTGGCTACCTTCAAAGCACAGAGAGGCCACAATGGAGCAAGCAGCCTTGCAGAGGAGCACATTTGCCTACAGACTCAGGCGATGCTCACCTCTGAGGGCTGCTGAGCACAGGGTACCAGCCCAGGGCCCCGCTCTGAGCAGCCAGGCGCCGGCCCCGAGCTCCTGTCGGGGATGATGTCAGCGGGCTGTGCCTGTTTCCAATCTCCAGCTGCTGGTAGGAGGCCCCATTACCAACCGTCTGAGCATTTCAGGCTGTTGGAAAATGCACGAGGAGGGCCAGCACTGTGAATCTGGACAGAGCAGTGTTCAAGCAGGCTTTTAAAATCAAACACTGAAAAAGTGATGATTATGTAAATACCTGTGTTAAACCTGAGAGCAGCCAAAGGCTTGTAAACAGGGTAGATGTGTTGCCTTAAAATGGCTCAGGAAATACAAGCTGCATCACGAACAGACCATACCGAAGCTACCACTGGGATTCTGGATGTGGCATATTCAGGACTAAAAGCACAAGTCTGTATAGCTTGTGTGAAGTGGCAAAACCTTACACTGGTAACATGCTACCCCAGGATCCCATCACTGGATCCATCACAAGACAAAGGCTATTTCACTTAGAAAACCTTTTGTGACATGCTATCATACCTTGGGAGAGAGAATTCAGCATTTACAGGTATTGAGCAAAACAGCCCTTTTTGCCAGCAACAGGGTCTGCCTGCAGTAGTTTTCTGCAGTTACAAAAATTGTACCTTGGGCCTCCTCAGATAAGGAGAAACTTCTTAA